GGTTTTTTTGAATGTGCAGTAGCCTCTTTGTCTGCAGGCAGGCGAAGCTAGCTCAGGAATGAGCTTGCGCTACTTACAGGCATCCCAGTAGACGAAGTGCAGCACTGCCAGACGTCGGTCACCCTCATTGCCCTCTTTGATGCCGACATAATATCTTCTTTTTTTGAGTTGCTCAAAGGTCATCTCTACTGCGGCTCCGTTCGCGATGACCACGATTACCACGAACGCCTCTGTCTCGTTCTACTCCTCCCTCGTCAACGGTATCCACCCTGGCAAGGTCTGGTGGTAGTTCAGGAAGAGCTTCCCCTCGTGCAGACTCATGATGTGTAGCCGATGTGTCAGGCTCACCGACCGGATCTCGACGTAGTCGGCGTGGAGAGCGAGGGCGATGTCCACGACGACGTAAAGAGCCAGTTTCAATGTGCAGAGGTATTCGTCGGCGATGAACTCGTGGTCGAGGAGTGTGCACGTGAACCACCTGCGGCTGATCCGAGGAGCTAGGCAATCCACCCACACTCATGGATTCGTCTGCCTGCAGGAGGAGGAGGCGTCGATCATCTTCTGCCGGCCATAATCCAACAGGGACAGGACGACCCCTTCTTGGTGTAAACGAGGCACATGTTTCTACATGCTCGACGACGGAAGCCAGCGATCGTATGCGGTTGTTCATGTTCATGGAATGCCATGACTCCTCCAGAGTCTGCGAGACGCCCGGCTGCAGGAGAAATGCAGGATCTTGCCGTGGCATGACGTAAGGAGCACCTGATCCGGCCGAGCCACGCCTTGCTTCTTGACCGATCGCTTCACAGATTTCCAAGTCCATGGTCCTCATGGCGGAGATCACGTTGGCGGTCAAGTAGTCGGCGCATGATTTCAACGCCATCCACAAAGTTTCCCTGCACTAGTTGTCCATGTACAGCGTCCCGCACATTGTCAGCCGGTGACGTCGAACATGAAGATGTCGTACTCGTGGTCGAAGAGAATGGTCGCCCCAGATGGGTCTGAACCAAGGCATGTTCGTCCCCAGGTTCGTCTCCAGGCGGACTTTTCCAAAGGCCCTTCGGACTCAAGGAGATCAATGACGGTTCGGCTGGAACCTCCGTTGAAATACCTGTTTCCCCCCCGACGAAGACGAGGGCCGCGTGGAGGGTCTCCTGGAGCAGGGACATGGGGTTCAACTTCCACTGCAAATCTGCTGTCTATGCTCTCAATGCTGCCGGGTGTTGTTGGTGCCTCTTGAGTTTGCTTGTCAACATCTACCCGGTCAACTCCATCATGCGACGCGGAATCTCGTTCTTCTCCGGTCGCACTTTCACTGCAGCACACATCGGAGCATCAGCGCTCCTGGAACGCTTAACACGCCCTGTTCAGGGACGTTTGCGTCGCTGTCTGGCAATTCGCCACAATGCTCTTCAGCTTTTGGCGAGTCTCCGAACCTATGCACACACATCACAACCCCAATCGGCAGCAAGAGGTCGCGCGGCTCTCTGAGGCAGGCGTGCAGGTCCTTTGGAACACAGCAGACACGGAGGCTCAGTGTTGACAGCAAGGAAGCTGTGAAGCCTGACGAGTTGTCTTCTCAATTCAAACACCCCTTCCCGGCCCTAGAATGACTGTTGAGAAGGACAGGACACAAAAATGACGCCACACACCCACGCACTTCTTAACCCCATATTTTTTTTATGGGGGAGGGCAGCACAACGGATGTGCAGCCTGGCCTGGCGGCTCCCGCTTCTGGTCTGTGCGCTGGCATAAGTCGAAGCCCAGTTCGGGCATGGGCTACAGGCCTGCTGTCTTTACCTGCCACTGCCAGGTCTACGTCTACGTCTACGTTGCAGAGAAACAAACACACGTATAGCAGCGCAAGTGATGACACGCTGCAGGCTCCTGCATCTTCAAACTGCCCTGAGGGATCTCGAAGTCCTTCAGCTGCGTGCTGATCATCAACATTCCCTTCACCTGCAGTCATACCAGAAGCGCAACGCGATAGGTAAGGGAGCCAACAAACAGTCACACAAGCAAGTGGGTAGTAAACATTTCACAAAACTGAGCCCGCGACGAGTAGGACTGCGTCCTTGCAGCTGAGCAAGCCACGGCAATGCACCGCCGTGTACAAATGAGCGCCGTCTTCCAGCAGGCCCAACCTGAGGAAGGACTGGGAAGATCGGCCCATCAAGGCGGTCGACTCCGTTCTGGCATAGGAAACCGACGGGCCAAACAGCAAAGAGCAGGCACACGCGCGACCAGGAAGCGCCTTGCTGCGACACCTGCGCCGCTCAATGACCTCTACCGTGCAGTCATCCAATCCACGCTGACGGTTTTAAGGCTTGGGGTCGCCAACAGCGGCAGGCGAGCATTGGCCTCTCACAAGAAATGTGTCCATGAACGCGCTCACAGACAAGCGAATAAGCACAACCAAGCCTGCTCCTTGCACTGACCCCCGCGCAACACATAGGCCGCTGAAGGTGATGACAACAGCGGCGTGGCGGCATAGTAGATGCTCTCATCATGCCGCCCGAAGATCGCGTGCAGACGGGGCGGATGGCCTCAGCATCACCCCCCCCTTAAGGGGGGGTGGGGTGGGGGGGGGGGGGGGGCGGGAAATAGGGGGGCCACCAATTTCGCTAAATTGTGTTGGTGGGGGGGGGGTCGGACCACCCTCACAAGAGATCTTGGGGCGTTTCAGTAGGGATAGGATTACGAAGGTTAGTGTAGGCGACGGTTGTAAGGAGTAAAGCGGATTTCTGCACTAGAGAATAGTAGAGACACAGGTTTGATCAGCATAGCTGTGCAGCACCAGTGCAACAAAGCCTAAACCATGGAAATCGGTCGAAAGCACTCTGCGATTCTTGTTTTCTGTCACCGCCGGCTCCACGGCTGCATCAGGCTGAAGCACTTGTCGAGGATGGCTCTGTGCTCTCTCCCGGATACAATGGGCCCACGTAGTGGAAACGCATGAGTGAGTGTTGCGCTGTTGTTAGAGAGCAAGTATCTCAGGTTCAGGCGGCTCAATTGGCACCGAGCCAATGGGAAGATCAGAGCGTTTGGTTTCTGTCCCGGAGGTGGGTCTCAAGGGTGTCCGTCAAGATCGGTACCCCTGCAGAAAGATGGGTGTGTGAACCCCTTATCTCATGCACGAGAGAAGTGCACACACACACCTGCGCGCACGTACCAGTACGTAGCTGGACGATGGGTTCGCTTGCCTGACGCACCATTCGACGTCTTGGGGCCTTGGGCGTTCTCAAACGCCTCTCGTGTGCTCCCAAAACTTTCGAACAAAGTCATCGGGCTTGCCTGCAAGTAGCGTGGGCGGCCGGAACATAGTAACCACTGTCAAAGTGGACAGGGACGCCACACTTTTCGCGGGAGGCCTTCATCATCGGGCGTTTTCTGGCCCAGCCACACCACCAATCGCCTTGCCACACCACTCGCACCCGGGTCCAATCAGCATTCTTTGCAGGCTCTCGGCGCACCGAGGGAGCTGGCGGGTTTAAGGTTTAGGGTTTAGGAGCTACGGCTACGGGTTTAGGGTTTAGGAACTAAGGTTTAGGGGCATGCAGCCTTACTATAGGGTTTCGGGCTCCTTTCTGGTATAATTGCAAGAAGGAGCCCTGAGGAATACTATTTCTAATTCTGTAGGTTTCTATGATACCGTTTTCTCATTTGTGTCACGACAACCGGAAACCTCAGCCCAAAAAAGACATCCGAAGCCGCTCACCCTTGAAACGGAAACCCTATACCCTAAGCCCCAAAACGGAAGCCCCGAAACCCTGAAGCCCCTACAGCCTGAACCCAAAGCCCCTGAACCCTAAGCCCCCTAAAGCCGGATCCTGAACTACTTCACTGTTGGGGTAGTATTAAAAATATACACTTTTACTCCTTATTGGGTTTAAGTACCCAAAAAATTGTAAAATGTTACCCAACTATGACAAAGTGAACCTCATATCCTTGGACCCGAAAGTTTCTAGTTCAGAGCTGAGGATTTCTGGCTTGAGGTTTCACTCCTCTTCTGAAGAGCGCAAGACGCCCCAGGGCCTAAACCTTTTGAATGTGCTTACGCCGTGGGGTTTACGCTTTAGGGGCTTAGTTTACAGTTTAAGTTTTAGGCGTGTAGAGTGTGGGGTTTTACAGTTTACTAAAGCCTAGCCTAGCTTCAATGCAGCTATACTCAGAACAGCATCTTGCACACTTCCTCTGGCGACTGGTGCACCCGCACGTTCGCCCTGCGCACATGTTTCCGCCAGTCAAAGCTGCGACTGCTCTTCAGCTTCAAATGCTGGTCCTCCAGGGTTTGAGGTTCTTGTCTGCGCACCATATCAACCCAACGTTGATACCCCCAAACAGTCCGGCAACCCTGACCCCAAACATCGACTCTTTCATAGGGATCCTTAGGGGTGTAGGGGGAGGGGGGGTAGGGGGCCTTAAGGCCCATAATAAGGACGAATAAGGCCTAGTTAAGGAAATATAGTCCCCTACACCCCTCCCCCCTACACTCCCCTAAGGATCCCTATGACTCTTACAACCACCCAAACCGTATGCAACAAATCTTCAGGATCCAATCCCCAGACCCGAAGTTAGTGCGATACCTTAGGTACGGCCCCCATACAGTAAGAGTCTATAATAGGGCTACTATTCAGGTCCCACTATATCTACATTGTGAATATTATTCAACTATTACTGAGTGGGGGCCGTACCCAAGCGATACCAGTTGACACCAACAAGTGACTAAACTCGAAAATCTTGAACCCGAACCTCCCTGAGGCCACCGATTCTGTCAGTGAGCCCTCAGAAGCCCGTATAAATCCTGTAGAGAGCCCTTATGCAACCTTAAAAATCCCCCTACAAGCCGGAAACCCTACATCCTAACCCATCTGATCATTAGGTTTTAGATCTTCAACACCAGACCACCGGCCCCTATCAGGGCGTTTTCTTTTTTTCTCGGCGGATTGCAGAGTCGACAGACGCATCCGAAGCATTGAATTCAGTGAAACGGGTGAGATCTACTGGATACGCCTCCACCAGAAACTGCGCGTTCCTGCTCTCGGGGGCTCGCACGTGCGGGCATGCAGACTATTACATACCCATGCCGTGAACGCGGGGTTCGGAGGTGGCTGAACCAGTAGAGAGATGGGCGCCTCTTCCCCGAGCGCGCTCAGAAGTTCAGCGCGCGTCGGTTGAGGGGGGCCGTAGGCCTGGAGCACAGGACGGTTGGCATCAAACGCCTGCCAACAGCCCGAACGAATGCGCTTTTGATAAGCGCGGTCAGCTTGCTCAATCGCCTTCACCTCTGATAGTTCCATCGGGGGCATTAAGAGGTGTACCCGCTCGAGACAGCGAGGCACACTCTTAAGATGGTTTTGTGCCCTTGGGATGGAGTGAAAATGCTTGAGGCAGGCGAGGCACGTGGCATGTGGAGCAAAGAGGCGTTTTGGCGCTGGCAGGCCATGCCGTCGAGCAATATGTACACTGAGATGCTTCTTGAGTGGGAAGCTGGCGGTGCAAAAGGGGCAGGAGTAAGCCTGAGCAGCCTGCGAGGGGGCTGGCGTTGGGCCCACGGCTTGCTCAATGCGTTGGTGTGCCCATCGCTCGAGATCGGCAAAATAGATCCTTGTTGCAGCATTGATCTGCCGTCGCCACCACGTGCGGTCCTGTAGCAAGGCCTCCGTTAGGGCAACGAGGGGAATGGGGGAGTCGAGGACGAGCCGCACGGCAGGGCAATACAAAGCCACGTATTCAAGATCGCCAAGCAACATGGCAAGCCACGAACGCCCCGGAGCAGACTCCCACTGAAGCCACCAAAGATGGAGCAGGGTCGCAGGCCCATGCTCAAGCACCCTCAGGTACAAACTGGCACGCGCCTTGGCGAGGGCGAGTGGCGGGGCAAGGGCTTGCGCTTGCCGCAGAATCTCATAAGAATGGATTTTGCTAACGGCAGAAGACCGGGGCAGCAGGGCTTTCCAAATAGATGTGTAAAGCCTTGCCCACAGCCGCCACTGGTATGCAACGTGGAGCTCCATGGTGGCCGAGCCGAACGTAAACTTGGTTGCGACAAGCGAACCAAGCAGAGTACGCCGTAACGGCAGTGGGATGCTGGGGTTCCCAAAGAGAGACCCACGAAGCGGCCTCAGCGTCCAAGTGCACTGCGAGAAGCGATAATAGACCTCGGGAAGGAGGGATGCAGAGCAGGTAACAATCCCTCCAAGGTGCTTGTAAGCTTGGACTGCCGGTAGGCGGACCTCTTGGCCTGTGATGTCATCTCGCACAGGTATGAAGTACTCATAAGGGGAATCGCGAGGCGCGGGCTCACAAACACCGGCAAAAAGCACAGCTGGTGGCAACAGCGCCGCTGTTTTGTCAACCGCAAAAGACAACTGCATGCCAATGGAAGTGGCGTGCGTCAGGAAGGCCGATGTCGTGTCCCGGACTTTGGAAACGGTTTGTGCAGGACTATCTGCCGACAACATGGCGGCGAAGTCGTCCGCCCAAGACGCGGGGGGCAGAGTCCTCGGCTCGGTGTGCCCGTCGACCGGCAGACATGTAGCGCATGGTGGCAGCGTAGTGACAAGGTCCTGACGCTGGAGCGAGGTCTGCACGGACTGTATATAGGCGCTAAAACTAAGTGCAAAAAACACATCTGCTAGCGGGTCGCCAGGGCGGACCCCAGCAGCAGTGGCGACAAGTTCGATGTGCTGGTCGAGCCTGAACCATGTCCCCCGGAACAATTCACGAGTGAAAGCCTCAAGGTGCTGCGACCCGCCACTATCGATAATGTGGTTGAGGTTGGTAAGATGATCACGGAGTTCAGCAAGGGCAGTAGCTGGTACACCGAGCTTGCAGAAAAGGGACCTGAGGACGGAATCGTCCGGGGCCGCACCGGTGAGTGTCTCACGCACGACCTGGTAGTAGGCCGCTCGGACATCAAAAAATATCACAGCGGGGTGGCCTCCGGTGGCCTGGGCGTGTGCTTGATAGCTGCGCACCGCTGTGGAGATTGAATCCACCCCAACCCCTGGGTGGACACCGCCCATGAGATCATGGCCGGCATGCTGGAGGAGGGGCGCAATGCGCTTCCGCAGACTTTTATGCAGCAGCTTTCCTGGCACGCTCGAGAGGAGGATGCTCCGATAGCGGTCACACTCAAAAGCGGCTGACGCTTTCTTGGCGAGCGTCATCAAGGCACCACCTTTAAACTCGACGGGCTCGCGCAGGGTGAGCAAACTTTTGACAAAGAGAGGCAAAAGATGGCGTGCTGCGGTTGGGACAGCCAACTTGAGCAACTCCGAAGTCACTCCGTCAGGCCCTGCTGCTTTGCCACGTTTGAGCTGGAGCACTGACCGCTCGAGTTCGTCGAGCGAGGGGAGTAGGCGCGGGTCAAAGACAGGTGGCTGCGAGGGCGGTGGCACGGCAGTAGCTGCGGTGAGCTGCTCGCAGTAGGCTGTGGGGGTCACAAGCGTTCCACATTCCTGTGCGGCAAAGTGGCTGTTCCAGCGGGCAGCCCGCTCGGCACCGGTAGCTGCGAGCATGCCATTGGCAAGAGTGACCGCAGGAAGCGGAGTGAAGCGGGATCGCTTCGCAGAGGCAGCTTTGGGAAATGCCCGTCGGACGCATTGGTAGAGGTGGCGCGGATCGCGGAGGTCAGCATGCTGAACGTCATCAGCGAGCCGCTGTAGATAACGGCAGCGGTCGGCCTTGACGGCCTGTCGGACACTGGTGCACAGCTGATTTAGCTGGCTCCATGTGACAGCAAGATCTCGGCAAGCCTGGCGGACCCATCTCCAGGTAGCAAGCACATCGAGAGCAGTGAGCCAGGTCTGGGCCCGTGAGTGCGTAAAGGCAGCGAAACCAATGATGAGGAGGCGCCGGTGCAGTTCCTTTTCCGCAGCACGTAGTGCTATACGGGTATCTTTGCGTTGGCGAATAAGGCCAAGTGCATGCGCTGACAAAAAGCTTTGCTGCGGACGGGCTGTGGTCTTGGGCTGTATGGACCGACCGGCAGCGGTCCAGGTCGTGACAAAAGTGCCGAAATGACCATCGACATCTAGGTTCCAGTCAACCGGCGGGGCCTCAAGCAAAGCACGGCAAAAGGCTTGCTTGTCGATGGAGGGATCTAGGTCATTAGGACGGCATGCCACCCGTCGAAAGGAATTGGTGATGTGTGACCGGCTTTCGCGCACAAAGGTACATTCAAGTGTGACAGGTAGGTGATCACATCGCTGCTGGAGGGCCTCAAACGTATGCCAAACCCGGGACGAGCATGCGAAGGAGGTCCATGCCTGCGGCAGGCAGACATAATCGATGCGATGCTGGTCTCCTCGGGGAGATTGCCAGGTCCAGGAAGGACCGGTGTGGGTGCCAGCAAAAGTGGCGGGTAGCCAGAGGCCGTTGCGCAGTAAGAAGCTGTGAAAATGAGCAGCTGCTGGTGTCTCGGTCTCGGCATGATGCGAGCCAACCGCTTCACTTTCAAGGCTACCAAGGCGAGAATTGGCATCGGCAAGGACTAAGACTGGCATGCCTTTGGGTAAGCGGTCAAGTTCAAGAGTTCGTGCGGCCCAAAAGGCGTGGAGGACACCTTGCTCGTCTTGTGGGTCGGAGGGCGCGTGGACAACAATCACCCCAAGTCGGAGGTGTGGTGCTTCAACACAGACAACGAGGTGCCGGGGGGAAGCCGCTGAGACAGTGCAATGCTTTGGCTCTAGGCAAAGGGGCTGGCCATCGACGTGGGCATATGGTACACTCTTACTCACCCAAAGAGCACAGCCGTAGTTGCCTGCATCGTTTGCCCCGGAGTGGAGGAGGATGTGTGTTCGGTCCGGCAACAGGGCAGTGTCCTGAACTCGGGTCTCTTGTAGACCGGCAAAGAGGACCTTCTCAGACCGCAGCTGGCGCAAAATGACGTGTCGTCGCCCCATCATCCGAAGGCCAGTGGGGGCAGGAGCTCGGCGCTTGGCATGTGCGCTTTCCAGAAGAGTAAGGATGTTAAAGGTAACAGCCTTAATGTGGTAGTGTACGGGCTGTGGATGCTTCTCGGCGGGTTGTCCAATCCCACATTGAGGGGGAGGGCGTGGCAGAGGTGACATGTTCTGCAGGCGCCCAGCCTCGGACTCAAAGGCAAAAAGCGTAGGGAGGTCGGTTTCTGCCGTGTGGACAAGCCACGCCCATTCAAGTAAGTCATGGCAGGCAAGACGAGCCGGCCATTCTGGCAGGACACGTTCGTCAATTGGAATGGCCTGTGTGCGCACATGCTTGGCAAGCGAGTCACTGAGCTCGTTGCCTAACAAACCTTGGTGGCCTGGAATGTAGTCGGAGGTGAGGCTGACACGGGCAGCAGCAATTTGCCGAAAGGCGACCGCAACGTGACTCAGGCAAGGCCCTCCAGGAACTCCTGTCGTGTAAGCAGGCGCAGCCTGCGCGAAGGTGCCTTCGCCAGCAGCGGTGCAGTCATAGTGCAGGTGCACTGGGCAGTCAAACATAGGGCCATATTCGAGAATCCATGCCAATGCCCACGTGGTGCCGAGCAACTCGCTGGTGAGAGGCGAGTCATCCGATTCCCCGAGAAAGAAACGGGTATACGGGGCGACTGCGGTGCTAGCGGCGTACCCATAGAAGTACCAGCCAGATACAGTCTCGATCCAGACATTGAACGCCCATCCGCAAGGGGCACTGGCAAGTGGTTCACACGTGCCATGGGCGGACCCATCGGTATAGACATGGACGCAGGCAGGGGCCTGGCCACCGTGCTCGCTGATGGTATGCCAGTAGGCAAAGTCCGGAATGGCAGCACTAACACCAGCCAAGGTATCAGGGGCATCACGCAGAAACCTGAGGTCATTGTCGAGCCAATCGGTGCAAGGCACGGTACAGGCGACAGGCACAAGATTCTGAAGCTCGAGGCAGCTACTCTGGTAGCGGGTGAGGGGCACAGTATCTGCAAGTTGGAGGACCGGCACACTAGCGGCAGGGCGGGCAGTGACCGGCTTAGCATCAGTACTTAATGCCCTGGCACCTGTGCGGGCAGCGCCGCGTGCAACGAGGCCCTCAATCAGAACAGAGGCACGAGAGGCCCAGGCATCATCGAGTGCAGCGGCATGATCAAGTAGGGTGGGCATTCCGCATGCAAAGCCGGGGCGGAGGATCCGTTTCGGGATGGCTGGGTTTACAAGGGAAGGAGCTTCGGTCAAGGTCACACCAGCACGAACAAAAGGACCAGTAGGGGCGATGTTGGTTGGTGCAATCCGGCGTCCAACCCGCGTGGGAGAAGCAGAACACGTGTCATCCGTGGAGTCAGCCGTATGTGAAATGTGCATGGCAGCCCCACGCGCGCGACATGGTGTAGCAACTGGCCGGGCAAGGCGTTGCAGGGCGCAGGCAACACCAGCGCTGCAAATGGGTAAACCAGAGCCCCGTGGGGTATCGCCAACTGAAGCAGCGGTAGCGACAGGCAGGGCAACCACAAGGAGGACAAGGAACAGCATTAAGGGCGGGCGTCTGGCGCCTCGCCGGTGCAGCGCTGCACATGCAGTACACGCAGGCAGGAGGGCAGTGAGGGAGGTGATGATGGCGCTGGCACACAAGCGCCCAACAATGCCTGGTAGGGCCCCAAGGGCACAGTGCAGGAGGATAGAGGTGCACGCCAAGCCGTAGATAAAACAAGCTTGTCGCCACTTAACTACTCGACTGACACCGAGCTCTCGGAGCGGAGCGGGGGCAGTGATAGGGGCAGGACTGCATTGTGATACATTGCAATGGCCGGCCCGCTGCGTGCCGCCAGTACCGGCATCGCCGCTTCCCCGACTGCTAGCGTCGCCTGTAACGGGAGCGGAAGCAATGGCCTCATGGTGGGCAGGAGGGCCGGTAATGGGATCCCCTGTGGCGGGCCCTGGGTCGGCGCCGGTCCCGTCATCGGGTGGCATGCTGGGGAGATCAACAAGGACGGTCTCGCCCGGCATGAACGCTAGTACAATGACCTCGCCTGGGCGGATAGGCAAGGACGCAGCAAGAGAACAAGGACCATAGTGCGGGCTGAGCCTGCAGAGCTGGTAGCCCTGAGGACACCGCTGTGCAAATCGGCGCGTGAGGCGCGCAGTATCAAGGACGCCGTCTGTGACGGACAGCCGAGAAATGCCGCACATAACAGGCCTACAATCCAGGAAACAGAGCGCCCCACCTTGCCGGGAAGTAACTTCTGGAGGCTCGTCCCCTAGAACCGCGATGACGTTGAGAGAGAGGACTCCTTTGGCTGCATGGTCTTGGATAGCAGGATCCGGGGCTGCAAGCAAAAGGCGATCGGCTCGGACTTGGAGCAAGGCCGCAATATCATTCCTGAAAAATGCGCGGCGTCCACTGGCAACGGTAAACATGAAATCACCAGTCTCAGTGAGAAGCCAAACAGTATCCCGGTAAGCGGCATCGGGGGCCCAGTCAGGGTTCCAAGCATCAACTGTGGCGAGCAGGGCGCTAAGGGGACCGGTAGGGATGGGAGCATGCGCGGCCTGCGCAACTGGAGTGACAACAACAGTGTCGCCTGTGCGCAAGTCATAAACAGCACCTCGCGGGAGTGGCCATGGCAAGTCACGGAGGTACAAATCAACTGGCGCGTCAATGTCGACGCCCAAGGCACGGAGCAGGTCCTCCCGTCGGACGATGCTTGGGAGCTGTAAGGAGAAGACAACCCCGGTGAGGCGTGTCAAATCACAGGCAATCGTGGCACCATCCGGGGTCCAAAAAGGAAGTGCAAGCATAAGCGCAACCCCAGCAACTGTCTGCGGATAGGCCACGACAAGTCGGGGCGTGCACAGCCGCGAAAATGGAGCTCTGGCAGCCCCGACCTGTTCGAGGGCATGGCTGTCTGTGCATCCGACAGGCAACCGAGCATGAACAAGTTCGGGGCAATAATCTTGTGCAAGAACAAGAAAGGTACCTGGGAGGTAGTCTGCCTGCACGCTGGTGGTCAACGCAGTAGTGCTGTCATCCTCTACAGAGATATCCGAGGCCGGGTCGGTTCCAGGTCCTGCAGGCACTGCACGGTCAGTAGGCTGGCTAGGGGGGCCAAAGGACCGCGGGGGTCCTGTCGGGTGTGTCAGTGGCGCGGCATCGTCGGCAGTGGCAGCTGGGGCAGGTGCAAGTATAGGGATTGCAGGGCCTGTGGCAAGTGCCCGCGGGGCCGCAGCAGCGGGGACAGCTAGACGGCCAGGGCGAAGGTACGCAACTAGAACCTGTCCTGGATGAACATCTATAACATCTAGCCCGTCGGGCCAGCCGTCTGGGGAGTCCTGGTCAAGCTCCTCACGCAAAGTGTCGCAAGACAGCTGGTGCCGGACCGCTGTAACAGCCTTCCAGCCCCGACCCAAAGCACGCAAGTCGAGCAGGACCGCACACCAGGGCATCGAGCCTTGCTCCGACCTATCGCAAACGGCAAGGATGGTGCGGCAAACAAGCCCGTTAAGGGTGGCATCCGTGACTCGAGGCACGGCAGGCAGGAGCTGCAAAGACGACAGGGCTATGCCCAACGCTGCGGCGATCTGGTTGCGGTGGCGGGTAGGCCGCCGAGGGTCTGTCAGATGAAGTATGGTCTCATCTTGGTACACCAGAATATAGGCATCTGGGCCTGCTGGGGGTGTCTCTGGTGGAGAACGCCGCCACATTCTCCAGTCGGTGAGGGTCCAAGCTAGAGAGAAGGGCCGCGGGGGGGCACGCTCGGGAGGCATGAAGAAAATGGCTAAGCCGGTCCACATATGAACCTGGACATCCGCAGCTAAAGGTTGGGGGTCATCTCCGACGTAAACATCAACCCCGAGGTTAAGCTGGATATCAGCAAGGTGAAGGAGAGCAAGCCTGTCAGCGTAACTCGGCGCGGCAATTGCAAAGCGCCTCCCGTCGAGGCGGGTGCAGTCAAGGCAAACTAGTTGCTCCTGTCTCTGCCAGTCGGCGAGTGCAATTGCGACACCGATGCCAGGTTGCGGCTGCGGTTCCACGGGAGCCAGAACATGAAACCAGGGGCTATGCACAGTGTTGCGAGCAAGTTGGACGGTGTCCATGGCTTCGACAAGGGTAGAAGGGAAGCGGAGCATCACCGCAACTTGCTCAGGCGCATAGCCCGGCGCCAGGAGCACGAAAAGTGTCAGGTGGTCGGCAAGGTCAATGTCATCCTGATCCTCGGAGCCACTTGAGGTTGGAATGAACTCCGCATCCTCAGCGGGTAAATACCGCCATGCTTCGCCAAGTCGCGGCGCGAAATAGCGCAGTGTGGCGAGGGCAAGGCGCTCGGGCCCACTATCGGCTCGTGGTTCGAGCAAAAGCTTGGCCTGCCGGCTGCCGTGCAGAAGAGGGGAGGAAAGGGCTGATGGACGACTCTGTATCTCGGCAGACGGCCGCGGATACAGGAGCAGAGCAACCCGACAGACGAACCCACTGATTGTGCCGGCAAGTGCTTTCCATTTGGTGCCAAGAAGACGCAAGGTGGCCCATGCAGCCGATGCCCACAGTGGCAAGGCTCCCAAGAAGGAGACAAGGAAAGCAGCAACGACAGCAGTTGAACAAGAAGAGCCGACCGTAACAACAGGGATGGAACATGTTGGCTGAAGAGGCACGGCTTCAGTGGCAGCTAGTTGAGTACTGAGCACACAGCCTACGACAACGTTCACAGCAAGCCTGTGTCCATGTACAACCGGGGCGCCTGAAGGGCCGTCTGCAAGGCGCCGCTTGCGGTTACGTGCTCCTGGCACGGGCGCTGGCGCGGGCTTGGGTGCGGCAGGCGGTGCAGATGATGTGCTGCTGGAGGCATCAGTGTTGTCGGGGTCCCCATCGGACGTGTGTTGTTCTGCATCCTCATCTGCCTCCAGCATATCCTCCTCATAAACAACCGCGAGCACTTGCCCGTGGTCGACCCGGAGAAAGGTCCGGTCGCCATCGCGCTCCGGCATACCGCCAGTGATGGAGGTAAAGAAACCGGAGGGCGCAGGCTCAAATTCAGCCATAAGCATATCGAGGTCGACCCTGCCATGAAGGGTAACGTGCCAGGTTATGTCTGCGAGGACCGCGCGCCGGTCAACGGCATAAGCAACCAATAGTGGCCGCGGACGTGCAGGAGGTGCCGGTGAGCCGATGGGACGTTCAGTAGCGATGAAGATCGCTCGACAAGATATGCCATGGAAATTGTAATCTGCAATGCGGGGGTGAAGCGTTTGCAGAGAGGTGCGGTAATCCTCATAACGCAAGAAGGCAACAGCAAATTGCCGCAATGCAGCGTAAGAGGTGGAAGCGGAAGCTGGAAAGTCAGCGATAGTGTTCCAGGCATCCGTGAGCAGGTAGTAAGGGGTTTGCAGGAAGCCGTGGAAATCAGGCACTGGAACGTGCCAGTCAGAAGACTGGCGAAGCATGTCTGGCAACAGGCGAGTCCTGGGCAGGGCAGCCTGGGCAGGAAGGATGAAAAGTACATCCCCTTTAGCAAGCACGAGCGCCTCCTGGGCTCGATACACATGCCTGTTGTGCATGACCTGGAAGCCTATCGAAGGTCGCAGGCTGATTTGGACTAGGACAGATCGGGGGTATAGGCCGCTCTCAAAGCACGCTGCAAAAAGCCTCCCGTCCACAGCACGGGCATCCACAACCACACATACAGCTTGTGTGGCCCAGAGTGGGAGCGCAATGAAAGTGCAAAACCGCCGGTCCGGCTGTGGCTGGACCACCACGAGATGCTCGTATTTGGTATCGAGCACAGCGCGGCGCTTGGCCGCCAAGACCTCGCAGGCACGTTGCGCTGTGCAGGGAATCTCAAGTGGAAGCTCATATGTGGCAGGGGCTACCCTCGGGCTTAGGACTAAAAACCCTATCTGTGGGTGTGGCACGGGGCCCGGCAGCGGAGAAGGACCGTCGGTTGAGGTCGGTGCAGGCGGAGAGGCAGGGACAAGTGCATCATCCGGCGCGGGACTAGCCTCAACTGACAGGGCCACATCGTCCGTCCCAGAGGACTCGTCACGCTCATAGCCAAGAACGAGCACACGCCCATCAACAACTGGGAGCCCTTCACGTTGAAGAAGGGGGTGTTCCGCAAATGTGCGGAAACCGCGGGGCGGCTGCAAACCTAAGACCCGTACTCCGTCCTGTGTCGGTACGGTCGAGCCTTCCCCTTCAAAAAGGAAGCCCAGGCCCCTGGCAGACTGTCTAGCGTCAACAAAGACAAAGGAGCCAAGGTTCGGCCCCGGAGGGAGGTGCTCGGCCCGGTAGTCCGCGGCGGCCAGCTTGTCGTATAGCTTGCCGAGATGGACGACATCATTGAGAGGCTCGGTGGGATGCCCGAAGCTGACATGTTGTACCTGGCAGTCCATATATGACTGGCAATGGCTTGCTGCAGGTCGGACGTAAAAGTACCGTAGTATGGGAAACTGCGGGTAGACTGGGGCAGTAGGATGAGCCATGCCGCGGTAGGCCTCTCAAGCAAAACCTGTTCCGGCTCCGACTGCCAGGTGGAGGGCCGGTCCAAGAGCACAGAGAGGTCAGAATCACGAGCAAACGGAACATCTCGGGGAGAGAAGGACACAAGGGCCCCCTCTGCTAGCCTGACCTCGCCACCAACCTCGAGCGGTTCAAAGGCATCGGGCACAAATGCATGCCATAGCTCATCAGTTTGTGTTTCTGCGACAGCCTCAAGGGCGCGGTAGGTCAGCGGATTATGAAAGACATGCGCAAAGGTGGGCCCGCGCAGTCTAGAGAAGTCAAGCAGGACGGTTTGCCGCCTGGCCTCTGGGATCCAGTCCGGAACGATGATGAAATTGGCGTAACCCTGGCCAGGCTGCGGTCGTACCGGGAAGAGCTGCGCAGGAGAGAGTCTCTGAACCAGGGCAGAGGCAGCTGATGCATGAGCAACGAGGCCACTTTCACATGTGTCATGTGGCACGTGTAAAAGGAGATGCTCTGTTCGGTAACCGGCCGCGAAGACCAAACAATGCAGCAGGGTGTTGGCAGGATCTGCGGCATGGTCAGTGCAAAGCGACACAGTTGGCATGGTGTCGTGGACATCGACAGCAACGGCATGGTTAGGAGCATCGACCCCGCCCGAACCTACGTCACGGAGGAGATGTGTGAACAGGGCACCTCCATCATCTGCACCTGGCGCCGCCCACACCTGCACCGGCAGGGTGTAGCAAAGAAGGAAACGAAAGACAGCGGACAACCAGACGGGGCGAAGGGCAGGCCTGCAGTTAGGCTTCGGTCTCCGGGTCGGGGGCTTGTCGCAGGTCCAGACAAGCGGACGGTCACAACCGACGGCAGCAACCACAGAGAGCGCGGCAAGGAAAGGGGGGGAACGCCCAGGTGATCCACTCCGAACCTGCCGAGTAACGAGCGTGCGACCAAAGAAGGTGCGAGACAGCATCCAGAGCAGGTACCCCAGCCAGCAAAGGGAAAGGGTGCGCCCGAAAGCAGCAAGGCATGCCGCACAGTACCCCAAGTAGCTGTGAAAAAGCAGCCTGGCAGAGTCAATGACAAAATGGCGACCATGTCGGGTGCGCGTCACCGTACCGGCTGCTGCGGCAAGGCGAGGTAGAACGCTAACACGGTCCCTTTGACACAAGATGGGAAGATCAAGATCACAGGTCCTTGCCCCAGAGCCACCGATGCAAGTGTTCGGCACGCTGCGATCTGAAATAACTCCAGAAGGATCATTGCACGAGGCAGTCCCGCAATGGCGCGGTAGGCAGACCACCGTAACCGCAAAAGCAGTGCGGGGAAGCAAAGCGGCACGTTGGAGAGAGGGAAATGGAAAATTCCCAAGCACAGCATGGTGCCAAGACAATCCACAGCCAGCGGGGTGCCCGAGGCGGGGTGTGCAAGAGGAGGAGGCGGTTGCATTGGTCAATGCCCCAGAGCCACCGATGCATTTGTTAGGCACCAAGCAACCGCATCCAAAGGTCAAAAATGCCTCGTGGGAGGCTGCACACTGAAAGCGCAGGTGCATGCACACGCAAGAACACCAACCAACACCGACATCGAAGACCCCATGCTTGCCAAGATACATGTCGGGCAGGCTACTACCCTCGGGAAGGAGGGGTAGCTCAGGCGGGGCCCTGAAACAAAAACGGTCAAGAAAACCGCTTGCTCCATGGGCAGAGGAAGACGAGCCATCTCTAGGGGAACCGTCCCTCCGAAACCAAGAGAGCGGAACCACCCAGTGAAAGCTGGCGAAGGCATGGGCGGTTGGCATAGCCAGGCGACAGGGAGCGGGCCCGCAGAGAGAAAGGGCAGCAGTCTGGTTGGAGGCTCGCAAACTACTCGCAGACAAGACCTGTACAAAAGCATCCACACTGTACACCTTCCTCAGGCGGACGGATCGCCGGTGAGCCTGGATAGTGGCAGACACGCTAGGGCCAGCCCCGAGGTGGAACTGAGTCTCAGGAGGCTTCACCCATGAAGCCTCGCAGGGACTAGGCCTCCCCAGGCAGCCAAAGCAGCGCTGCCACCATCCGTGCACCGACGACCCCTCACTAGAATAGGCTAGCCAGCACCTCCGTGGGCCGAAGTGTCGCCAGTTCCGGTGGGCTCGAGCGTGCCCGTAAAGCCAGAATCGTCCGACAGATCGTCGTCGTCGTTCTCCACGTGGATGGGAAACTGCTGGGGCAGGCCACCACGGGTCACAGTCATAACTCCTGTCTGTCCGCCCAGCCCAAAAGGAGTGGTTGCACGTGTGCCCACGGTCGTCTCGCTGGCAGGTGTCGGCGGCGCAGCGTACTCGGGAGGCTCCACAGCCCCGGGCCTTACATCTCCATAGGGGGCTGCACGGGCTGAAGGAGAAACAGCTGGAGTAACTTTGCAGAATGCACCGGGCGAAGTGGCATAGGGATTCAGACCTGGCGGCTCGGCATAGACGACCGGAGGAGCTGCATTCGAGGGCGCCGGACAACCTGGCGGTATCCCGAATGTCGGAGCCTCCGCGAAGGGAGCGGGTCCACCAGGCGGTGGGCCATTGTGGAGCCCATCTTCCTGCATCTTTAGAGCCATAGCAAGACGCATGACGGTCTCGGCATCGCATCCAGGAGGGCCAGTCGGTGCCGGGTGTGGTGGCAACAGGGCAGCTGTCCTTGCATCTGTAGAGCGGTTTGACCGAACCGCATTGAGGGCCTCCTGCAGGAATCCACCGGGGTTGCAAGCCGGCTCCGCCGCGGGAGCAGAGACCTGCGCCCATAGGGCTTCCCATGCTGGCCCATATGTCTCCGGCTCGGCCGTCTCCATCGGTGCAGTCCCTTGTACGACCAAAGCCTGTACTTGGGCAGCAGCAATGCGGCCTTGCTCTGTCGCCTCGGAGAGGTCGCGGTCGATCCGCATCAGGTCCTGCTCGTAGAGCTTCCTCTGTTTCATAAAACGGACCTTCTGGTCCGCAGCCCAGGCCTCCCACTGTTGGGCGCGCCTTTCCCGCTCCTCGTGCAGCTTTCGCACCCTGACATCTGCACGATGTGTGCTGGTGAGGGCCTTCTGCAGTCCGGGGAAAGTCGATCCTGTAACCGGCAAGGCCGGCTCGGGTTTGGCCGGCTTCTCTGGCACTTCCACCGCGTCGTATCTGTCCTTGCCTTGTGAACGCGGGGACGCCTTGGCACCAGGCCAAACACGCCAGGGCCGTGAAGGCTGCTGCGGCTCCCAACCACGCCAGTCTTCCTTGTCGTGCCCATAGCCACGTCCACGGTCCTGCTTGGGCCATTTCTTACCTCCCATGGGCAGCTCACGGTACAGTGGGGCGCTGTGATGGCTGCAGAGGACAGCTAAGGCTCTGCGGGAAGGGTGTATACCCTTTGAGCGGGATAACCAGACCCGCTTCCGCAGCTTGCTCCTGACCCGGCGCCGGTTTCGGTGCCAAGTAGGGCTTTTCGTCGTGACCTACCAGTCACTGGGGCTACCGGCAATACCCCTCACAGGGGTTCGATCCAGAACCCTATCAGGGCGTTACTTATTAGAATGGGGTCTCTGGGTCCCCTTTTTTCTATGAAGGAGGGCTTAGGGTCCCATTAGGGTTTAGGGTTTAGGGTTTAGGGTTTAGGGTACTATGAAGGAATCCCCCAGATAGTATAGGTAATCATTTAACCCCCTATATTCAATCCCCATAATACCCCTTATAGTATCCGTAGTAGGACCCCATGAAAAAGAGCCCTTTAAAGGAACCCTATTCTAACTATTTGGGCCCCTATAACCCTTAACCCTAAACGATAAACCGTGCTAACCCTAAACCCTCCTAAACCCTAAACCCTAAACCCCCAAACCCTAAGCCATACTATGCCCTAAACCCCAAACCGTACTACGCTAAGCCGTCAGAGACCAGACGTCTGACTCAGCCAGCGCTGCTGGGTCTCAGGGTCGCCGATGTTCCACTCGCGGCCCCCGAACTCGTCGAGGGGCACCTGCTGCAGAGGATTTAAACTTCCTTTAAAGTGCAATGAGCACTTTTCTGCAAAACGTCCAGGATTTAAGGATTTTTTAGGAGTGCCAAGCGCTGCCGACTGTCTTTCTGTACAACTGGAAAATATGCGAAGCGCGGGTAGGCGCAGTACTCAAGCGATCGCCGAAGAGCTTGTTTTTCTGAAGCATTTGTTTGAAGCCTAAGAAATCCCTTCTATGGTCCTTATGTTGGGCGGAGTGGTCTAGGTAGTGGTTCAAGTATTCTAACGCATGTGAAGAAACTAGTTCGAACCAATACCTGGCGGGATGGCCTCTGTGCCTTGATTTAGTAAATTTAATGCGATCTTTGTACCCGGGGCCTAAACCCTAAACCCTAAACCCTAAACCATATACTTGAAGATATCAGCCCTGGGTGTTGGATCTCACGGGGTGGGACTTAGGGGTTTAGGGTTTAGGATCTTGGGCTCGAAGCCTTACCTCCCGAACCCTAAGGGGGTTAGGATTCTAGATTCAAGGCTCCGCGTTTAGCATGGTGCGAGATCGAACATAAGGGCGTTAATCGTTAGAACAAGGTGCTGGATACATGGTCAAGTAAATGTATAGGGGCTATAAGGAGTGTCGGGATTCTGTCAGGCAGTAAATAGCAGCTGCAGGGATTGTAGTCTGGTTTGCTTGCGATGATGGCCCATGTCTCTTGTGCAGTACTTGTGCATATAGGGCCCCAAATTAGGGAGGATCTAATTTCTAGATCCGGGGTCTGGGTAGTGGGTGATGTAGCTTCCCGACTCCCGGAACATGATCATGAGATCAGGCCCTACTCCAACTCGCAAAAAAATTCACGTCAACGCATGTGGGCAATACGCCGTGGCATTGCCAAGCAGAGCATCCTGTTTTTCACGCAAGATCCGGATCTTTCAGGAAGACATGTGCAACTGCTCCGACAAGGATGGATCTGGCCTCAGTAATAGGACCTGCTTATTACGGAAATGTACTTGTGGTATTTACCGTGTTGCCAGCGCCGCCATGTTGCAGGACATACCCATCCGTCCTCGAACCACTCCACGTTGCATTCTCGACATCTGTACTCTTTCGTGTTGATTCTGCAGTCATTGAAGCCAGACAAGCTGCTGGACAGAGATGCTGAGATGGTCAACGTCAAAGACGTGCAGCCCTTGAATGCACCCATTCCAATTGTGCGCACCGTCTCAGGCATGATCAAGGACCTTAGAGAAGTACAGCCGCTGAAAACTGCATGAGCGATGCGGCTGACGGAAGCCGGTATGACCACGCTGATCAAAGAGTCACAACCACTAAAGGCGTTATTCCCAATGTAGGTCACGGAATCTGGGATGATCACCCGCACCAGCGAGCCGCAACTCTGGAAAGCCCCCGACCGAATGCTTCTTACTCCCGGAGGAATGCGCACAAAAATCAACGAACGAGCATCGCAAGGTGCCTCGTCTTTATACGCGCAGATCACCGGCGGCACATGCCGAAAAAGGACTTGAACTTCTGCCCCTGGAAGCAACCCGACCTCATGGACCGTCTCCATGTCATCCAGGTACCTGTCCCCGAAGACCAAGTCAACCGAGGTAAGTTTACGCATGACTTCATCCTCGCATGGATTCCACCGCTGCATCTGGCTCTTGAGCTCTGCAATCCTCATGTCTGGGGCAACTTCCAGCTCGGTCAAGGCCGCTCCACTCAGAAGCCGCATGGAGATCCTCAGCGCCATCGCTTGCAGAACTCTGAAACGAAGCTGCTAAAGGATCCACACAAGGCAGCACGTACAAAACGGATGAGCATATGTACACACAGCCTTTCGGAGATCGATTATCCACAAAGTCATGCATCGTTACATGCAAGTGCGCATTCGCAGAAGTTCGACTCATAGACCCGTCACTGAGATCCGTCAAGAACATGTCATTTCCTCGCAGGCTCTTTCTCAGCTCACTCTCGAGACGCATCGCGGCTGACGAACACAGGGGTCTTAACAATTGGAGCAGGGTTTTGGGCTATGTTAGAATATACCTACATTAAGGAACCCTGCGGAAGAATCATTCTAATTTCTCAAGCATATATGTTACTCTGTTGTCTTTCCCTTGCACCTGTTGGACCTCGAATCACCCCAAATACCAGGCCGATGCTGAATTGCATCCTGGCGCCCAACTGATCCTAAGACTCTGGAGTTCGCCAAATGCTAGAGTTTGTCTTCGGGTGCGTGCGTGCGTGCGCACCCGGCCCGCTGGGACCTAGTGATCCTTGTCAAGGGGACGATTTAGTTTAAGGTATGTTCCCGCATACCGCGAAGTTTAGAAAAATAGCTTCCAAACAAAAGTGTATGTGGAGCCCTGGTGCCTTTTGAAATTTTATCCGCAATTAGAGGGCATTGGGCTCGCTTGGTTCTTCCACGCCCTGATAGAAGTAGGCTAAGGCGTCATGACACACGGACGGGCTCCCCAGTGGCGTGTTTCATTGTCAGGGGGCTTCGCTGGTGTCAGGTTCCTGTCAAACACAGCCCACTCCGATATATGTTAGAAGCTGCCCCCACCCTGTAATAGTGGTATAATAAGAATATAATAGGGCCCTACTATAATCCTTGTACTCACTATTACAGGGTGGGGGCAGCTTCTGAGGTATATGGGAGTTTCCGAAATTAGCGGGGGCCCTAATATAGTACCCTCAATAGTAGGATCCTTATTTTAAGGACCCCAGAAAAAGGTACGCCTAACTTTCGGAAACTCCCATATGCTACGAAGCACAAGCCAGGAAACGCCCGGCAATAGATCGCCGAAGCCTGAAGGAACCTAAAAGCCACTGAACCTCCCTCAATCCCAACCCTTGAACCCCAAGCCCTGATCCCTAAAACTCAAAAATCCTGACGTTGTGGCTCAGGTGAACTCGTAAACAAGTTAAAGAAGTTATGAAGCAGGGTAAAACTTGGGACAGCTCAAATACATCAATATATTCTACTTACTATGTCGTCGAATCCTCAAAACACGGTTAGACCTTGGCAAAACCCTGTAAAAGGCTTGTGAGGCATTGTAAACTCTTACGCTCTGGGAAAAACCTACACAAGCCGGTTTAAAGCCCTGCAAACAAAACCCAAGCCATCGAAAATCGGCCTCATTCAGCAGCCATGCCAGAAAAGATGCCACGTTCTCGGGTGTGTCCAAGCCTTCTCGTGCAAGCTTGTATTCAAAAAGGTGCTCTTAAGAATTAATATAGTGTCTAGAAGCGTTCTACCAGATTCGATCGCATATTTGTTGCAATGGAAGGACCTCAACTTTTGCTTTTCAATGGGGTGTCGATTTCCCTAAGCCCTAAACCCTAAACCCTTCATTCCGTTGAGTTATGCAGGGACCATTCAGCGACTCCAAGAAAGGGTCTGAAAGAGTAAGATGCTCATCTTAAGGACCTGAAGAAAAGGTATCCCTAAGAAGCTGCCCCCACCCGGATTACAGTAGGGCCCTATTATATTCCTATTATACCCTAAGCCCTAAACCCTAAACTCTGTATTAGTGACTATAAGGACTATATTAGGGCCCTATATATTCCTATTATACCCTAAACCCTAAACCCTGTAATAGTGACTATAAGGATTATATTAGGGCCCCTACCACTACTACAGGATGGGGGCCCCTTCGAGGGTATCCCTAAGTTTAAGAAACCCCGGTCCGGGACACCTGGGCCCGAAAAGCATGAAGCCCAAGCTAGAACCTGAAAATTCGACACCCTTTTAGGGTTTAGGGTTTAGGGTTTAGGGTTTAGGGAAAATTCGACACCCTTAACCCAATTCTTCCAGCCTAGTCCCTCAAACCCAAAACGCTACAAAACGCGAACCCTAAACCTTGACCTCCTCAACTCTCTCTCTTGCGCTTGCGGAAGTCCGGTGCGGTCGCATGCGAGCCAAAAGCAGCGAAATACTGCAGCCAAATCAGAAGGGCAGCAACCCAGAGGAAAACCGGTGCGCACGACCCCTCAACCAATAAATCCTAAACTCCTCAACCCCAAACCCTAAACCATAAACCCTAATCCCTGAATCCGACACTCCTCAACCCCAAACCCCAGACCCCAAACCCTGAACCCCAAAATCCTAAACTCCTCAACCCCAAACCCTAAACCCCCAACCCTAAACCCTAAACCCCAAACTAACCCCAAAACTCCAAAATCCTAAACTCCTCAACCCCTAACCCTGCCGCAGGCACCTTGCCGGGTGGGGGGCGCAGGGGCCGCGAACTGCGGAACGGAGGCCTGGACTGGTGGAAGATGTTTGGGCCTACCTATAGTCTCCATTGTAGTTCCTTTTTTGGGTTAGACCAATTTTAGTGTTAGGATCCTATAAAGGTAACCCCAGAAAGGAACTACAATGGAGACTATAGGTAGGGCTTAGAATCTTAGAATGGCTGAGGGCTTGGGGCTTAGGGGCTTAGGGTCTTAGGGCCTAGGGCTTAGGAGGGCTTAGGGTTTAGGGTCTTAGGGTTTTTAAGGTTTAGGGCTTAATGGGTTTAGGGTTTAGGGCTTAGGGTCTCAGGCCTTTAAGGTTTAGGGCTTAATGGGTTTAGGGTTTAGGGCGAAAGGAAAGGTTTTGAGGTTTAGGGTTCAATCCGTGCTAGACGACGCCACCTCACACCAGGGTCTGTGCTGGGGTGGCGGCACGTTTCACATCAAGCGACCTTCGTTGCGTACTGTGACCTTTGTTCATTTTACCCACCCGCTGTGATGATACGACAGGCACCACCAAACTCTTTTTCGTTTGCGTTTACGGCTTACGCCTTCAAGGCAGTTGAGGCAGGGCCACGACAGGGCGAGCAGGGCATGTTCGCAGATCGCCCCGATTGGCGGGTGGGAATTTAGGGTTGAAGGCCTTTGGGGGTTCGGGGTCTTAGAGGCTAAGGTCTCTCCCTCATCCTTTGAGAGGCTTCAAGGCCTCAGGGCTTCAGGGTTTACTGTCATGGTCATCGCCATCTTCTTCTAATCATAATGGCAGTGACAACGCTGACAGGGTTCCTCATACGAGGGCCTCAACGATCAGAGCACGGTTTTGAGGTCTGAATTTGTGGTGTGGTTCGTATTCAAACCCTAGACACCTGAACCCTAGACTTTTAGCCCTTCACAGCCGCAGCCTGATATAGGGGCCTTAACAATTGGAACAGGGGTTTGGGGTCCATTCTACTCTTTTTAGAGTAAGGAACCCCCAACATAGCATTAGTAATGGTACTTATTTAGACCCCTATATTAAGCCTATCCCTTCAGGAGAAGACACGGAAACCCTGCCTGGCCAAGCTGCCTGAAGTAAGAGGAGGAGGCAAACTCCTCCCGATTCTCTAGGGGTGCCTACTTGGAGGATCATGGGACTTAGTAAGTAAGGTTATAAGTACCCTAATTGGGGTTATAAGTATAGTTACCCTAGTTATAACCCTAGTTACTAAGTCGCATGATCCTTTAAGTAATTGGAGTTCATCATATTAACGATCCTACTAGTGAGCGGTACTATATTCGGGTCCCTTATTTTGGCGAACTCCAATCGATTCTCTTCAGAAAAGCATTGGGGATCAGGTTGTTGGGGTCTGGGACACGCAGGTTTAAGGGTTTATATAGGGCCTAAGGGTTCGAGGATTTTTGGGTTTAGGTGCCTTCGGTTGGGCGTTGAAGGCTTCAGGTGAAGGTGTGGAAAGCCTTTCTGAAGATTCCTGGAGGCTTTGCAATCCTCTGTGAAAACTTAAACCCTAACTCCAAACCCTACATAGGCCCTCAAACCTCTGGGGTTAGTCATGGTGTTGATTTGCTGTTGTGGTGCTGGGCGAACACCAATCGCTCCAAGGCATGTTTCAACGGAATCCATCATTAGGAAACCCTTGCAGGACCCCATGTCATCACCACAGAACAAATGGGAGTTTCCCAAAATAGGGGACCCTAATATAGCATCCTAAATATATAGTAGGATCCTTATTATAAGGACCCCCAAATAAGGTACGCCTATTCTCGGAAACTCCCAAATCCTCCCAGAGCCTTCAAGCGGCCCGTACCCCCAAACCCTAAACCCCTAAACCCTAAACCCTAAACCCTAAACCCCTAAACCCTAAACCCCTAAACCCTAAACCCCTAAACCCTAAACCCTGAACCCCCAAACCCTCAAACCCGAGTCGCGAGACCCTCAACATGAAACCTGAACTTTAAAGCCCGAAAACCCTCACCCATGAACCCTTACAAAACCCCCTACTTAGAGGATCATGGGACTTAGTAAGGTTATAAGTACCCTAAGTGGGGTTATAAGTATAGTTACCCTAATTATAACCCTAGTTACTCAGTCCCATGATCCTTTAAGTAGGGCTTGCCCTTAGCATCCTGGCTCCGCAGCTCGACTTGCATGGGCGTGTCCACCACGCCAGGCATCACGGACCCAACCCGGGCACCGGAGGGTGCGAGCTCCTGATGTCAGGGGTCAAGGGGTTTGGGGCGTAAGATCTCGGTTTCAGGGTGGGGTTTAAGGGCTTTGGGCTGACGTTTTCGGTAACCAGCCTCAAGAGTTTGGCTGGTTTTGGGGTTTGGGGTTTAGGGTTTAAGGTTTAGTGTTGAAGGTTTAGGGCTAAGGGCTGTGTGTGGACAGTGCGGTGGGTGCGCTTCTTCTTGCTCTCCGCTTCCTTTCGCAGTTGGACAGATAAGCGACCACATTTCACAGCAAACCAAGCTGAGGGCTTGGTGTCGGGTTGTGGGTCCTCGCGGCCTGTACCG